CAAGCGAAATACCACTTCTTGGGTGCATCGTTGGTAAGAACGGTGTACGTCCTGTTCCCGAAAAGATCAAGGCGATCACCGACTGGCCTGTGCCGGTTGATGTCAAAGGTCTTCGAAAATTCCTTGGGCTAGCGGCGTATTTGCATAAGTATTCACGCAATTACGCCGAGATGACTGTGCACCTCTCTCGTTTGTTGAAAAAGAACGAGAGGTGGTTATGGAACGCTGAATGTCAGCGCTCCTTTGAGGGTATCAAGCAGAGATTGATACAATCCCCAGTCCTAGCAATAGCCGATCAGGACAGGCCATTTCATGTGGTCTGTGATGCCAGCGATTTCGCAATCGGCTGTGCATTAATGCAGTACGACCTAGAAGGCGTTGAACGCGTCGTCTGCTATCAGTCGCGTCAGCTGCAACCAGCTGAGCGGAAATATCCAGTGCATGACAAGGAACTCCTTGCCATGAAGTATGCACTCGCGAAGTTCAGAGTCTATCTATTAGGAGATAGACTCTTCATTGTTTACACTGACCATGCGTCATTACGCACGGCAGTGAACAGCCCGCACCTTTCACAACGAATGGCGCGGTGGTTGTCATTCTTTGCGGAATACAACTTTACGGTCGAGTACAAACCAGGACGACTTAATGTCGTCGCTGATGCACTCTCACGTCGTCCCGACTTTGAAACAGTCGCGAAACCCAACAGTGAGACAGTCACTGTTGCGGTTATGACGTCCTCAGTCCCATCTACAACGTTGTATGATGATGTGAGGCGGGCATACGCTCAAGATGGTGAGATTGTGAAGTTGTTGACACATCTCTCCCAACCATCTCGAGAATCGTTGAAACGATTGTCGTCTGCGTATCGATCTGCATCAGATCGATACACCACTCGTAACGGGTTACTGTATTATACAGCCGTTTCTGGTGACACACCACGTGTTGTCATCCCAGATGATACTGATCTGCGTTTGCGGATCATGTTCGAGTATCACGATGCTCCTATAGGAGGACATCGTGGCCGGGAGAAAACATATCTCACGGTGAGTCGAGACTTTTACTGGCCCCGCCAGTATCAGTTTGTGCGAAAGTATGTTCGCGCATGCGAAGTCTGCCAACGAGTGAAGTCAAGTCCTTCACTGCGTGCACCTTTACAGCCTCTACCGGTTCCGGCTGAAGGCTGGGAATCCATCTCAATGGATTTCGTCTTCGGGTTACCCAAAGACGCACGCGGGAATACGGGTATTCTCGTATTTGTTGACAGATTCAGCAAAATGGTACACCTTGTGGCTGTAACAGAGACAATCACGGCAAGTGGCTGTGCTTGTGTCTTTATTGACACCATCTTACGACTTCATGGGTTGCCCCGTGAACTCGTATCAGACAGAGATCCACGATTCACTGCTGATTTCTGGCGTTCCGTGTTCAAATCACTCGGAACGCGCTTGAAGATGTCAACATCTGATCATCCAGAGTCAGATGGTCAGACGGAACGTGCCAATCGTGTCCTTGAAGAGATACTTCGAGGATACGTACACTCCTTTAAGAGTTGGAGTGAGTTTTTGCCAATGGTAGAGTTTGCCATTAACAACTCGGTGCATGCGTCCACGACACATACACCGTTTTACGTGAATGGCTTGCGCCATCCGCGTGTACCCACCTTACTAGAGTGTAACTCTGGTTTAAGGGGGGAGGGACTCGCGCGAGCAAAAGCCGATTTGGTTCACGCTCATCACGCTCTGACGAAGAGGTCATTGCGTTTGATGCCGATATCGATAACATCGATATCGAAGAATATGATGCCAGTGAGAGTGCGGAAACCCTCACTGAAGAAGATGATGCCAGTGAGAGTGCGGAAGCCCTCACTGAAGAAAAGGTTGATGTTGCTGCAGTGCGCTCACAGCGCACTGAAGCTAACGAGTCATCAGATGAGTTCATACTGGCTCGTGAAACGGTAGTCCGTTTTGTGCAAGACTCCATCACCGAAGCGGTGGATAAGCAAACGCAAAACGCTGACAAGAATGGAAGGGCAAACACTCTTTTATTTAATAAAGGTGACTTAGTCCTACTGTCTACGGTTAATCTACCAAAGCATGTAGTGACTAACTTGGGTAGCAGTAAACTACTACCCAAGTACATCGGCCCATTTCGTGTATTGCACCGCCTAGGCAATGCATACACGATCGAGTTACCACGTAAGATGCGAACGCATTCCACGTTTTACGTTGGTCGGCTTAAGCCGTACCATCAGTACGCTGCTTCTTCCAATGAAGAAAGCCCTTGCGCTCAGGCATCTCGCAGAGAGCCTTGTGCTTCCGATGGTGGGCATCAACAAGGGTCTGAAGAGCAGCTATCTCATCCCGAGACCGATCAACAATCCCACGAGCTACCCTTAGCTCGTCACGAAGAGATGTCAGAGATCTCTCGTTCTCAAGCTGAGCAAAGGCAAACTCAGCTCGATGCTTCGAGACAGTGTCCGCCATTTGGAGACGCCTATTCCGCTCATGTTCGAGATCGTCGCGTAACCCTTGCGTTACGCGATCAAAGAAGCTCTCGGGAACACACCGATCCACATGATCGTGTGGAGAGCGTCTTTCCTCCTCCTCCACCTCCATTAGAGGACTTTCGCGGTGGCCAGCGCTATCTAGTTGAGCAGCTGTTGAACCACCGCGACGTGAACGGACGTTGGACGAGTTATCTCGTCCGGTGGATCGCCTGTCCCCCGTCCTGGGATACTTGGGAGCCCCGCTCCCAACTGATGGTTGACGTACTGGGTCTGGTTGAGCAGTACGACGCGGCACATCCTGTGCCGCAGAAGGACCTCCGGAGAAAGTCTTCCCGGCACGGTCGTAAAGGGATTTCAGGTTGTAAATCCCTTCGTACATCTCAATAGAGATACGTACGCGCCACCACGGGCTAGTAAGGAGGTAAGCCTCCTTAGGTGGTCGTGCAGAGTTGTTCACACAACACGGGCACGAGTCTCCCCAAGAGAGGTAGGTTAATCCTTTCTCCCTTGACAGACGATGCAGCTTGTAGCGTGCACCTGTCGGGGTTCGCTTTTCAAACTTATCACGAGCTTTGATAAGTTTGTCGCTCCAAGCGTCACGACCTACATACTCAAGGTTATGGATGTAGGCGTTCCACGCTTGAAGTAGTGAGGGACCATCACGTTTGTGATTCCCACTGTACCATCGATGTCTAAAGAAAGCATCGATGAAGAATTCATTCTCAGCGCGATAGTTTGTCGCACTGGGGTCAAGGTGATGGATCCTTGACGAATCGAACAACCGTGTTCGATAACGATCACTCGTCGTCGCCGACAAGTGATCCATGACAGATTTGGGAGGCATCCATGCCTTCTTCTCAGGAGCGAGACGCAACACACTGCGGTCCCGCTCTTCCTGCGCTGTGCCGACAGAAGTACTGGCACCTCGTTGCGAAGTGGTGTCCATAGGAGAACCGACACCACTGTTAGCGCCCGAGTCTCGCGACCTCGAGCGCCTTCGCTTCGGCGATGGTTCATCTGATTCATTAGATGAAACAAAGATGCTACAACGCATAGCATCATCCATGCCACGCTTGACAGGCGGCTTGGTTTCGATCGCCGTCGATACAGATCCATCTTCCGTATTAGGAGAACATGAGACACCGAGCTCATACTCTGTGAAGACATGAGTGTCTTCATGACCAGCGCCTGCATCACCAAGTGACACAGGCTGGGTCGCTTCAGCAACCGATGAGACATCAGTTGCTGTTGTTTCTGCTTCGGCGTCCGCACAGAGACGTGCGGACGCGCTCTCGGCGGCCTTGCTCGCGCATCGCATGGGCTTGTTTACCATGCGATGAAATGTTGGAAAGTGGACTCGGACCAACAAGTGCAAACCCCGTCCCAAATGATTTAGGACGAGTATCCATTTAGTCAATCAGTCACTAAAGTGACTGATGGTTAAGGGGGGGGTGATGTAACGGGGTGAATCGTTACATACCAATTTATAAGAAATTGTTAATTGAATATAACCATAATAGTTATATTCTCGGAATATTGTCATAAGGACAAATATTCTGTAGCAATTACGAGTAGTTCCTAATTGGTTGATTTAGGCCATTATATCAACCAACGAAGACCACGCCACGACGCACGCAATGAGTGGTGAGCAGATAGTTGATTTACACGTTTGTATTTAGACATAGTTAGATGAAGATAAATAGTGATTTATTGCAGACATTAACTATTATAAATACAGTTCTACTTTTTACTCTAACCAAGTACTCGCTTCTTCTTACCGTCTTCCTCTGCACGTACGAGTGTACGTGAAGTTACGAGGCACCGCCTTATTCTGTCATCAGAATAAGTAGCTTGTGCTGTCACTGTAACGGGGCACCCTGAAGCTTGTACTGGTGACAGTACAAGCTACTTATTACTGTAACGGGGCACCCTGAAGCTTGTACTGGTGACAGTACAAGCTACTTATTCTGATGACAGAATAAGGCGGTGCCTCGTAACTTCACGTACACTCGTACGTGCAGAGGAAGACGGTAAGAAGAAGCGAGTACTTGGTTAGAGTAAAAAGTAGAACTGTATTTATAATAGTTAATGTCTGCAATAAATCACTATTTATCTTCATCTAACTATGTCTAAATACAAACGTGTAAATCAACTATCTGCTCACCACTCATTGCGTGCGTCTGTCGTGGCGCGTCTTCGTTGGTTGATATAATGGCCTATATCAACCAATTAGGAACTACTCGTAATTGCTACAGAATATTTGTCCTTATGACAATATTCCGAGAATATAACTATTATGGTTATATTCAATTAACAATTTCTTATAAATTGGTATGTAACGATTCACCCCGTTACATCACCCCCCCCCTTAACCATCAGTCACTTTAGTGACTGATTGACTAAATGGATACTCGTCCTAAATCATTTGGGACGGGGTTTGCACTTGTTGGTCCGCGTCCACTTTCCAACATCTCATCGCATGGTAAACAAGCCCATGCGATGCGCGAGCAAGGCCGCCGAGAGCGCGTCTGCACGTCTCTGTGCGGACGCCGAAGCAGAAACAACAGCAACTGATGTCCCATCGGTTGCTGAAGCGACCCAGCCTGTGTCACTTGGTGATGCAGGCGCTGGTCATGAAGACACTCATGTCTTCACAGAGTATGAGCTCGGTGTCTCATGTTCTCCTAATACGGAAGATGGATCTGTATCGACGGCGATCGAAACCAAGCCGCCTGTCAAGCGTGGCATGGATGATGCTTTGCGTCGCAGCATCTTTGTTTCATCTGATGAGTCAGATGAACCATCGCCGAAGCGAAGGCGCTCGAGGTCGCGAGACTCGGGCGCTCACAGTGGTGTCGGTTCTCCTATGGACACCACTTCGCAGCGAGGTGCCAGTACTTCTGTCGGCACAGCGCAGGAAGAGCGGGACCGCAATGTGTTGCGTCTCGCTCCTGAAAAGAAAGCATGGCTGCCTCCCAAATCCGTCATGGATCACTTGTCGGCGACGACGAGTGATCGTTATCGAACACGATTGTTCGATTCGTCAAGGATCCATCACCTTGACCCCAGTGCTAAAGACTATAACACTGAGAATGAATTCTTCATCGATGCTTTTTTAACATCGATGGTACAGTAGGAATCACAAGCGTGATGGTCCCTCACTACTTCAAGCGTGGAACGCTTACATCCATAACCTTGAGTATGTAGGTCGTGACGCTTGGAACGACAAACTTATCAAAGCTCGTGATAAGTTTGAAAAGCGAACCCCGACAGGTGCACGCTACAAGCTGCATCGTCTGTCAAGGGAGAAAGGATTACCCAGCCTCTCATGGGGAGACTCGTGCCCATGTTGTGTGAACAACTCTGCACGACCACCTAAGGAGGCTTACCTCCTTACTAGCCCGTGGTGGCGCGTACGTATCTCTACTGAGATGTACGAAGGGATTGACAACCTGAAATCCCTTTACGACCGTGCCGGGAAGACTTTCTCCGGAGGTCCTTCTGCGGCACAGGATGTGCCGCGTCGTACTGCTCAACCAGACCCAGTACGTCAACCATCAGTTGGGAGCGGGGCTCCCAAGTATCCCAGGACGGGGGACAGGCGATCCACCGGACGAGATAACTCGTCCAATGTCCGTTCACGTCGCGGTGGTTCAACAGCTGCTCAACTAGATAGCGCTGGCCACCGCGAAAGTCCTCTAATGGAGGTGGAGGAGGAGGAAAGACGCTCTCCACACGATCATGTGGATCGGTGTGTTCCCGAGAGCTTCTTTGATCGCGTAACGCAAGGGTTACGCGACGATCTCGAACATGAGCGGAATAGGCGTCTCCAAATGGCGGACACTGTCTCGAAGCATCGAGCTGAGTTTGCCTTTGCTCAGCTTGAGAACGAGAGATCTCTGACATCTCTTCGTGACGAGCTAAGGGTAGCTCGTGGGATTGTTGATCGGTCTCGGGATGAGATAGCTGCTCTTCAGACCCTTGTTGATGCCCACCATCGGAAGCACAAGGCTCTCTGCGAGATGCCTGAGCGCAAGGGCTTTCTTCATTGGAAGAAGCAGCGTACTGATGGTACGGCTTAAGCCGACCAACGTAAAACGTGGGATGCGTTCGCATCTTACGTGGTAACTCGATCGTGTATGCATTGCCTAGGCGGTGCAATACACGAAATGGGCCGATGTACTTGGGTAGTAGTTTACTGCTACCCAAGTTAGTCACTACATGCTTTGGTAGATTAACCGTAGACAGTAGGACTAAGTCACCTTTATTAAATAAAAGAGTGTTTGCCCTTCCATTCTTGTCAGCGTTTTGCGTTTGCTTATCCACCGCTTCGGTGATGGAGTCTTGCACAAAACGGACTACCGTTTCACGAGCCAGTATGAACTCATCTGATGACTCGTTAGCTTCAGTGCGCTGTGAGCGCACTGCAGCAACATCAACCTTTTCTTCAGTGAGGGCTTCCGCACTCTCACTGGCATCATCTTCTTCAGTGAGGGTTTCCGCACTCTCACTGGCATCATATTCTTCGATATCGATGTTATCGATATCGGCATCAAACGCAATGACCTCTTCGTCAGAGCGTGATGAGCGTGAACCAAATCGGCTTTTGCTCGCGCGAGTCCCTCCCCCTTAAACCAGAGTTACACTCTAGTAAGGTGGGTACACGCGGATGGCGCAAGCCATTCACGTAAAACGGTGTATGTGTCGTGGACGCATGCACCGAGTTGTTAATGGCAAACTCTACCATTGGCAAAAACTCACTCCAACTCTTAAAGGAGTGTACGTATCCTCGAAGTATCTCTTCAAGGACACGATTGGCACGTTCCGTCTGACCATCTGACTCTGGATGATCAGATGTCGACATCTTCAAGCGCGTTCCGAGTGATTTGAACACGGAACGCCAGAAATCAGCAGTGAATCGTGAATCTCTGTCTGATACGAGTTCACGGGGCAACCCATGAAGTCGGAAGATGGTGTCAATAAAGACACAAGCACAGCCACTTGCCGTGATTGTCTCTGGTACAGCCACAAGGTGTACCATTTTGCTGAATCTGTCAACAAATACGAGAATACCCGTATTCCCGCGTGCGTCTTTGGGTAACCCGAAGACGAAATCCATTGAGATGGATTCCCAGCCTTCAGCCGGAACCGGTAGAGGCTGTAAAGGTGCACGCAGTGAAGGACTTGACTTCACTCGTTGGCAGACTTCGCATGCGCGAACATACTTTCGCACAAACTGATACTGGCGGGGCCAGTAAAAGTCTCGACTCACCGTGAGATATGTTTTCTCCCGGCCACGATGTCCTCCTATAGGAGCATCGTGATACTCGAACATGATCCGCAAACGCAGATCAGTATTATCTGGGATGACAACACGTGGTGTGTCACCAGAAACGGCTGTATAATACAGTAACCCGTTACGAGTAGTGTATCGATCTTATGCAGATCGATACGCAGACGACAATCGTTTCAACGATTCTCGAGATGGCTGTGAGAGATGTGTCAACAACTTCACAATCTCACCATCTTGGGCGTATGCCCGCCTCACATCATCATACAACGTTGTAGATGGGACTGAGGACGTCATAACCGCAACAGTGACTGTCTCACTGTTGGGTTTCGCGACTGTTTCAAAGTCGGGACGACGTGAGAGTGCATCAGCGACGACATTAAGTCGTCCTGGTTTGTACTCGACCGTAAAGTTGTATTCCGCAAAGAATGAAAACCACCGCGCCATTCGTTGTGAAAGGTGCGGGCTGTTCACTGCCGTGCGTAATGACGCATGGTCAGTGTAAACAATGAAGAGTCTATCTCCTAATAGATAGACTCTGAACTTCGCGAGTGCATACTTCATGGCAAGGAGTTCCTTGTCATGAACTGGATAGTTCCGCTCAGCTGGTTGCAGCTGACGCGACTGATAGCAGACGACGCGTTCAACGCCTTCTAGGTCGTACTGCATTAATGCACAGCCGGTTGCGAAATCGCTGGCATCACAGACCACATGAAATGGCCTGTCCTGATCGGCTATTGCTAGGACTGGGGATCGTATCAATCTCTGCTTGATACCCTCAAAGGAGCGCTGACATTCAGCGTTCCATAACCACCTCTCGTTCTTTTTCAACAAACGAGAGAGGTGCACAGTCATCTCGGCGTAATTGCGTGAATACTTATGCAAATACGCCGCTAGCCCAAGGAATTTTCGAAGACCTTTGACATCGACCGGCACAGGCCAGTCGGTGATCGCCTTGATCTTTTCGGGAACAGGACGTACACCGTTCTTACCAACGATGCACCCAAGAAGTGGTATTTCGCTTGCTGCAAATATACACTTCTTGAGGTTAGCATACAATTGATGCTTTCGCATGATTGTAAGAACCTGTCGGACGTGGTACCTGTGAACCTCAACGTCCGACTTTCCATCCATAGCTCGACTATGGATGAATACGTCATCGAAATAACTTGGCGCAAATTCTCGTATTGGTCTCAACAGATGTGATACACATCTGTTGAACGTGGCAGGGGCATTACTAAGCCCGTGTGGCATTACTAGCCATTCCCAGAGCATGCCGCTAGGCGTGATAACTGCGGTATAGGGTATATCCCGTTCTCGCATAAGGATTTGATAGAAGCCATCCATCAAATCCATGGACGAAAAGATGGTACTCTTTGACATACCATCAATGATTACGTCCTTCCTCGGTATCGGCGTCTGAGACGGTACCGTTGCAGCGTTTAATTTGTTGAACGCGTGCACTATCCGCCACCCTCCTGTTGCTTTTCGCACACAGAAGGTCGGAGAGCTATGTGGGGAAGTTGATTCCCTCACATGGCCCGCAGCTAAACGATCGGCAAAGAACTTGTCGATCGCAAGTACTTGTTCACGAGGCAGTGGCCACTGCTTCATGACACAGTACTTCAAGCCTGGTTTAAGCTCGACCTCGTGTCGAATACCTTTATCCTTCGGTAATTCGCACGGAACAGTTTGAGGGAATACATCCTTGAATTCAACCAAATCTTCATAGAGAGGATTTGTCTTGAGCGATTCCCACGATTGGGAGTCATATCGCTCAATTCGTGTCTTTTTATCTAGGACACTCTCGTCCATAGATGAACTACTGAGAACTCTCTCGTTCTCAGTAAACACTGTTGATGACCTTATGTCGGTTACACACTCGTCGTCAGCGACGAGTACGCAGATCTGCTTGACTTTGCCACTACGCAGATCACGCAAGAACCTTTTATGTTCGAGCGTTGGCAACTGAGTGATCTCCGAAGTTAACTTCGGAGTCACAATCAGATCAAGTGTATAAGCGCCTACACTTGATCTGTTATTGACTAGGACATTTAATGTCTCTGTCATTTCCTGGGGACTTATTCCCTCAGGCTTCGAAGGACTTATTCCTTCGGCTTCCCGGGGACTTATTCCCGCGGGTTTCGGGGAACTTATTTCCGCCGTATTTGTAATCTTGGGACTTATTCCCTTTACTTCCTCTAGCTGGGGTTGCGCAACCACAGCGAGATCCTCTACGAAAGACTCTCCAGTCGATCTAGGATTATCGTTTCGCTTAACCTGAGCGATCGATTGTTTCTCTACTAGATGTTCCCCGCTAGGGATACATCTTTGTCCCAGTCCACCCGACTTATTCGAGTGGTGGAGCTTCGGCGCAGCCTGTGTTTCCTCACAGCCGCCGGAACTTTGCTCCGAAGTGTAACCGTTTGGTACACTAAGGTTTTGTGCAGTCGTACTAACGACCGTACCACAAGTGAGGCCACCGCACTCACTCGTAGTACATCCACACGCTTGTGAACGCTCCAAAACGTTCATCAGGTGGCCATCTGATGAACAAGCGGCAGGCATCGTTACTGTTCGATGTTGCCAGTTTACCCGTGGTCCGTACTTTCTGAGCCACGGTATCCCAAGGATGACATCAAATTTGTCATCCAAATCCAATACGATAAATTCATCGTCATATTGGGTATCTTCTAGCGTATAGTGGATCTTCACTATACGCTTCATGACGGTTACGGATGCGCCTGTCGCAAGACGTACCGTCATCCTCGTAGGAGGTGTGTCACATTCACTGAACTTAAAGTGACCATCTTCTAGCGATTAGCGTCGCACAAAATTGTTGGACGCCCCACAATCGACTAGAGCTCGAAGGGGCAACTTATTCGTCACTTCGAGTTTCAAGATAATGAGTGAGACCTCATTACCTAGAGCAGAAACGCACAACGTTTGTGTGTTGGGAGCAACCTTCATCAAGAGGCCTACAAATTCTCTTGACGTTGCTGGACCAGTAGGGTGCTCCGCACCTACTGATCCTGTCCGTTTTTTGACGGTCCATCCCGTTGTTGCGTCTTTGCACCAACAGCGGACCCGCGTCCCTGCCCCTTTCTCATGGGTGGACGGTCATTACGCCCAGTGTTGCGAGACACTGGACGAGGGGCACTACACTCGTAAGCGTAGTGTCCTGTCTTCTGACATCTGTTGCATTTCTGCAACTTCTTGTAGTCTGTAGAGCGAGCCTTCTCGCTCTCTACATAACAGAGTTCCATCGGCTCTGGACCTCCGCTGTCATATCGTCTCGGTTGACGATATGATGTCGAGCTGGCGCGAGCCTGTCTCGGACTGAAGTCTTCCTGCTCCGCAATGGAAATGGCTTGTTCTAGTGAATCTAGTTCAAGCCGGAACAGGTGAGTCTTGACGGGACCATCCGCAAGACCCTGCATGAACACCGAAACCAACGTGTGTTCATCCACCGGATTGGAACTTATACAACTCGTGAGATGTCGTATATGTTGCGCGTAAGCGTGCACATCACGCTTACCCTGCTTGAGCTTCAAGAGTTCGGTTCGAGCTCTGAACTCAGCTCTAGGCGGTTCAAACGTTTGTCTGAACCGCGACTTGAAGACTTCTAACGACCCAAACGCAAATGGGTCGTGCAACTTGAGCCCCAGTGCCCAAGTCTTGGCACGTCTGCCAGATTTGACTGGGCAAATGCAACTTGCATATCCCCGTCGTCGATGCGACGCGCCCTTATGGCGTCATCCAATTCGACGAACCATCTCAAGAGGGAGTCCTCTTCGACTCCTCTATACTTGGAGATGTCAATCTTCAAGGTTTCGGGTCGAAGCGAGTGCATCGACCCACCAGCAGCAGCCTGCTGCTGTCTCAACAGTTCAAACTGTTGAGCACCCTGTTCTCTCAACAACTCTGCTTGTTGAGAACCTTGTTGGTGAAGCAAGGCTACTTTCTCGCGTTCTGCGTCAAGTTCATTTTGAATGAACTTGGCGATAGTAGCATGTTGGGCATCTCTATTGAGAGCCTCTAGCATGACGCTAACAGCATGGATGCCCATGGTTGAACCCATTCGTTCAACCGCATCCCATTCGACATCGCTCAAATGGGAGTAGCCGTCACGCGTAGCGTGAAAGCTTTGGTCATCTTCATCATCCAACATATTCATGTTGTATGTGAACGCGGTCCTTGGACGGACTACGAAGTGCTACCAGGTGTAACGGGGCACCCTGAAGCTTGTACTGGTGACAGTACAAGCTACTTATTCTGATGACAGAATAAGGCGGTGCCTCGTAACTTCACGTACACTCGTACGTGCAGAGGAAGACGGTAAGAAGAAGCGAGTACTTGGTTAGAGTAAAAAGTAGAACTGTATTTATAATAGTTAATGTCTGCAATAAATCACTATTTATCTTCATCTAACTATGTCTAAATGCAAACGTGTAAATCAACTATCTGCTCACCACTCATTGCGTGCGTCTGTCGTGGCGCGTCTTCGTTGGTTGATATAATGGCCTATAACAACGAACAACTTCTCCATTTAATTCTAAAATTAAACGCAAAACACCATGAGCTGCAGGATGTTGTGGACCAAAATTTATTGAATTTTTTTTTTTTTTAAAGGCATATATTTTTTATAATTAAAACAAAATGCCTTTAAAAAAAATAAAAAAAAATTCAATAAATTTTGGTCCACAACATCCTGCAGCTCATGGTGTTTTGCGTTTAATTTTAGAATTAAATGGAGAAGTTGTTCAAAGAGGTAAATCCTCGTCAGATCGCCCGCAACCGTCGCAATGAAGCAGTACAAACATCAGGTGCAAAGCGTCTTCCCGGCACATCTGAACGTCTTGGTACAAAAAAATCTTCAACCTGACAGGCCGACGAGCAAAATTAGATAATGATGCGTCAAGTCCCCCCTGTAGCAGTTTCGCCGAACAAACGTGACTGCCGATCCGTGCCAGGACCTTCCACACTGTCATCTTCTATGCTTCAATACCGACACAAAGTTCTCTACCGTTAAGTACATCGCGGCATCACAGCAGTCACTACTTCACCGAGCTTCGTAAGGCTGCAAGCACAAACACCGGTACAAAAAAGCACAACAGCCGAAGCATCTCTAGCCCAAGCCAGTCTGCTGTCATGTGTCAGCACTTCGCTGTACCAGCACCAGCTCTACAAGCTATACCCAGTCCAGTCAGCAACACTCATGGTAGCATATACAAGCTGCAAGATCATATTTTCTGATCGTGTGTCCCTGAAAGGCTCGACAGCAGCCTTGATCGATCCAATCTAGCGGCCAAAGTTCTGCTCGACGGTTAATTTAGTCGAAGTTGACACCGTTCAGCCTGCCTAGCTTGCAAGACCAATAATTGACCACAAAACTCGTGATACCGTCATGGGTCGGAATTTTTGATCGCAGACGAGAAACTGCAGACCTCGTCGGAAGCATTTGCGTGTGTGAGCGTTGCATCACGGCACATCGCACTGTGAGCCTCTGCATACCAGTAGGGTCGGGTACTTTGTTCATCACGCACCTTTTGTTTGCATTAAAGCAGTGGTTTTGAAGAAATCGCGTGGCTTTGAAGCCAATTTCAAACCTTTGCCCTCGCGACAGCTCCGTCGTCCCACACAATCGGCTCAATCAACGAGGGGTGCGAGTCTTCAGCCATGTTGACTGCACGATGTATTTTAGTTCAGATTTACACAATATCGGGAGGGACTCGTACCAGATGTGGGACAGGTACTGGGAAATTGCGCCGGCGGAGGGTACCAGAACTGGGAAAAGCTCAAAAGTAGAGCGCGTTCATGCACGTTATCCGCTTTTCGTCTTGGTTTTCATGGGCATGCTGTAAACAGAAAGTAGTATAGAACAGAGTTCGACTACGTCGAACGGCTTAAATGCCGTGAAGACTTCTATCACAGCAAGGCCGGAGTGCTCCATCTCATGTGCGCTACCCATCCATGATGTGTTTGCAGGAGTAATTGCAGAGAGAAGCCATCAAGTTGCGCAGAGTTCAAAGGGGTGCTCACGTTCGCCAAAAGCATCGTAGAAGACATTGCTCAGGCCACTATTTCACATCTTCGGAGCTACATGCTGTGACTTGGTTGCTCTTCACCATTCCGATCGCACACTTCCGTACTTCAGTAGGCGATGCACGAGAACCTGCATGCGCACCAAGGCGCCTCAAGTACACCGCAATCAGCCACATTTGCACGATCGTTAAACTATGAAACGACACCAGAACATAGAGAGCGTCGCTCGCTGAAGTCGCTACAAAAAGAGTACTAGTACATTTTCTCTGGTCTTTTTGGCGGGTGAATTGTCACCCTCGCTGGTGGAAGTTCGCAACGAGTCAACCAGGTGCGATGGACTTGAACTCGGCGTCGCATCGAGAGCTGCAGCAGTTGCCCGGCGTGGGCTGCGTCACGGCACAGTTGATCATCAAGTCACGCCCGTTTACTTCGGTACAGGATCTGCTGTCCGTGCAAGGCATCGGCCCCGTCAAGTTCACAGCCATTGTCTCTCAAAACCAAGTCTACGTGGACGAAAGCACTTTTAACACGACAAATGCTACGTCGCGTGCTGCTCAAATTGACCTGAACGCTGCGTCAAGCCGTCAGTTACAGCGGCTAAGAGGGGTTGGGCCTGTCTTGGCTCAACGGATTATTGAGGCGAGACCGTTCCACCGCAAGGAAGATCTGTTGGCCGTGGAAGGCATTGGCTCGAAATCCTACCTCAAGATGCAAGAGCAAGCTCACGTGCCGCTGGATGGTGCAGTATTTTTACAACGACGGATAGACGGTGAAGATGGGAATGTTAAAGACTGCAGGTCGGAAGTGAAGGAGCAGCAATTCTACTTTTGCCGGGAGATTGAAAGAGATGTGCGTGGAAACGTATTCCCGACGCGAGGCCGTGATAACGGTGACAACCGGGCGTTGATTGTGGGTAGTTGGAACATTCGCAACATTTCTCGACGAAAAGAGACGTCCTTGCTGCAGCGTATCGCTGACGTCTTGAGCGAGTTCGATCTTGTCGCGCTGCAGGAGGTGCGGGACTTGATTGTGCTCAAAAAGATGAAGACGATGCTGCCTGGGTGGAACTATGTGGTTTCGAGTCCCGTAGGAGGCAAGGTAACGGGAGCCAAAGCAAGGAACGAGCGGTACGCTTTCTTTTTCCGACGTTGCATGGTTCGACTTGTTGACAAATGCTCGCTGATTGAAGACAAAAGCGACGTGCTCACAAGGTTACCATGTATTGCCACTTTCCGAGCAACAAGGCAGTCGGGCGTATCGGACCTAGAGCTTTCATTGATAAATGTACATGTCTTTTTTGGTGAGAAAGCACGTCGCCGCGATGAAATTGCGAAGATCAATCAGTTGGCGAATGAGATGAGCGTCTCCGCTTGCGGTGCAAGAAAAGTAGTGGTGCTGGGAGACTTTAACTTGTCGCTGCAGGACGTATTGGGCAGGTCTGGCTCGGATAAGATGGCGTTGATCCGCTCACCACTTTCTACAACGGTATTCGGCAAATTATACGACAATATCTGGCTTGACCGCAGCGACTTTAGTGGCCCGCAGGTTTACGACGGCGAGCGAAGGTATCGTGTGGCCAGCGGTGTATTACGCGTAGACTGGCAATACTATCCTTTTTCAAAGGGCAGTCGACATTGTGTTCAAGGCTCGATGGATACCATGCCTCCCCAGTTAAAAACGTACATGTCGCGGGTGCAGTGTGGCTACGAGCTTTCGGACCATTGTCCTGTGTGGGTAGCGTTTGCTGCAAGTGCGTGCTATGATGCAGTTGATGGAAAAGCGACGTCAGAGCCGAAATAAGCTGATCGTAAAAGGAGACAGTGCTGCATCACGGTAGCGATATCTGCCGATGAAAGTCGACATCTTGTGCAAATCAAGGCAATGATGAGTGCTCGCGGATCGATTGCGCGACTGATGGAATACGAAGTGCTGCAATCCTAATGGTACGTCAGCATCTAACATGTGAACGTGCACGCATGCAGTTCGCTATTGAGGCCTGTAAACCTCGGTCGTCAAATGGGCAAGCAGGCTTCCAAGCGGAACATTTTGCGATCGCCTCACACGTAAGTTCCCTTGCTTGGCAAGAAATGACACCAGGTGCAACGTTGGCGTCTCTTGCAGAGTTCGCACCCACTTATACTCATGGTTGATGCGTTCTCCTCTGCTTTTTCGCTGCAAAGTCGATGATGATGTACATATTGAATGATGCTACCGCTGGCTGATGCTGAGATTTGTCCCATAGCCCTAGCTAGCTACGCGAACGGATCGAGAGCCAAGGTATCAAATGCAGGAACTAAAGTAGCTGATGAGAGCAATATCGGTGGTAGCTTCCTCTGTTTACGTGACTCATGACAGCTACATATGGAGCATGTTCTTAGCTTTACCTTGCGTTCGACAGCTCTCTGACCTACGATCAACTGGACGGCTTTCGAGTGGGCACGTGGTTCGTTCGGACTCGTATTGTCAACGATTACTCGTCATCAGGTGGTCCGAAGGTCGTACCAGCCACAACGCCCTTCTATTCGAGCCCATCCGAACACATCAAAAACCACATGACACTCGCGCAACATAACGAGCCCCTCCACCACCAGCCACTTCAGATCGAGCCATTGATCTCGACCATGATGCAAGCCCCCGTGCTCGTCCTCAGTGCGTCTCCGTCTCGTCTCGCCCGTCGCTTTGCTCCTCTCGTGCACTAACGTACCTCGTCTCCCCCCTCTCTCTCTCTCTATCTCTCTTGTGTTCATTGGGCAGACACCAACACGAAGCGGGAGACTGGGCGCACGGCGCAGCTCGGGAACATCGAAGCGGCCAAGGCCGTGTCGGACATTGTGCGCACGACGCTCGGGCCGCGCTCGATGCTCAAGATGCTGCTGGACCCGATGGGCGGCATCGTCATGACGAACGATGGGAACGCGATTCTGAGGGAAGTCGATGTGGCCCACCCAGCGGCCAAGAGCATGATCGAGCTCAGCCGCGCTCAGGACGAAGAAGTGGGTGACGGCACCACGTCCGTCATCATTCTGGCTGGCGAACTCCTGGTCGTTGCCGAGCCGTTTTTGCGCCACCAAGTGCACCCGACGGTGATCATTCGTGGCTTCCATCGAGCGCTGAGTACGTTGCTCGCGATCGCCAAGGAGATGACACGCGGCATTGATCTGGAGAACAGGGAGGACATGCGCCAGTTGGTGCAGTCGTCAATTGGCACCAAATTTTCTCCGCGCGTGGGCAACTTGGTGAGCGACTTGGCACTGGACGCAGTACGTACGGTCGTCTTCACGACAGCGTCGGGACATAAGGAAGTCGATGTCAAGCGCTATGCAAAAGTCGAGAAGATTCCTGGTGGAGAACTGGAAGACAGCCGCGTGCTCAAGGGCGTGATGTTCAACAAAGACGTGACGCACTCGAAGATGCGTCGACGCATTGAGAACCCACGTATTCTGCTGCTTGACTGTCCGCTTGAGTACAAGAAGGGCGAAAGTCAGACAAACGTCGAGTTGACGAACGATCAGGACTGGAACACGCTCTTGCGTCTGGAAGAGGAGTATATTGAGAACCTGTGCGCGCAAGTCGTGGCAATGAAGCCCGACGTGGTGATCACGGAGAAGGGTGTGTCGGATCTGGCACAGCACTACTTTGTGAAAGCGGGCATCACCGCCTTCCGTCGTCTGCGTAAGACGGACAACAACCGTGTGGCTCGTGCGACGGGTGCAACGATCGTGAGTCGCGCAGATGAGATCCAGGAGTCAGACATTGGTACCAAGTGCGGACTCTTTGAAGTTCGCAAGCTCGGCGACGAGTACTTTGCATTCTTTGAGGAGTGCAAAGAGCCTGGCGCATGCAGCATCCTGCTGCGCGGAGGCAGCAAGGATGTGCTGAATGAGATCGAGCGCAATTTGCAAGACGCCATGCAGGTGGTGCGCAATGTTGTGTTTGAGCCGCTGCTGCTGCCAGGAGGTGGTGCCACAGAGATGCGTCTCGCCCATGAGCTCAAGAAGCGCGCGGACGAGATTGAGGGTGTCGAGCAGTTTCCGTTCCGAGCAGTGGGCGAGGCCCTAGAGGTGATCCCGCGCACGCTGCTGCAGAACTGCGGCGCCGACGTCGTGCGCGTGATGACGTCGCTACGTGCCAAACAGGCCGAGACGGAGGAGGCGTACGGTGTGGACGGTGTCACGGGTAAGGTGACGTCGTCTGAGGAGCTGGGTGTGTGGGAGCCGTTCCAGGTAAAGACGCAGTCGATCAAGACAGCCGTGGAGGCAGCGTGCATGCTGCTGCGTATTGATGACATCGTGTCTGGTCTGGCTAAGAAGAAGAACTAGGCAGAAGCAAAGTGTGGCTTTCTAATATATTCTGGTCCGATGCGATCGTGCTTTGGAGGGCTGGCTGGCGATAGATAGTTCGCGTGCGCAAAGGTTGCTAGTAAGGTCAGAAGGATCGCTGTAGCTGTCGCTTGATGCGGTCGACTCAAGTTTACCGGCGAGTAGTAGTATCGTGAATTGAAAACTTGACGAACCCAACTAAACACCACGCAATTCTACGAGATGCGCGACCTGGATGCTTAGACGGCACAAGAGCCTAAAATACTGTCACACAAGTCGGTAATGTGACGATCAATTTACTGTGAATGGTTTCCTGGATCTATTAAATTCATGGATATTTACCATATTTTATTGGGCAGTGGTCATGATTGCTCGTTATTTAAACTGGTTGAGCGCAGGGTCATGTATCCGTGAGCCCGGTCCAACAGTACGTAATATAATCGACATGGGTAGAGTACGACGAGTGGTTGCCGAGGTAATATGTACTCTTGAACAGCAAGGCCTCGAGAAAAACCAGTGCTTAGCGTAACAGACATCATGACTCAAATGACAGCGGACACATGACGATGTGGCACAAGCGATTGGGCCAAATAAGCACAATTGATGTCATATGCATGGAAAATAATGGCATCGCAATCGGTATGAGCGTCACGACAAAGAGGTCAATCCATGTGACCCGTGTGTTGAGGCCAAGCAGTCGCCATGAAAGAAGTCAGCACTGATAGCGAGACACTATAAATTACCCGCGAAGTTACTGCAGTAAAAAATTTTGTAATGATTTCAAGGAAAATCTATAGCTCAGCGACTGGAATAAAAACACACATTTATACTACAGATTATTGAGCACTGCAGCAGCTTGGTGACGCCTACGCCATAAAGACCAAGGATCATCAGTGTTTGCTACTTGTACGATAATTTGAAATGAACTTTGAGCGGTATCACGATTTTGCGTCACGGTCATCGGTGGTGAAGACGAACTCAAGACAAACCAAAAGAGCAAATGAGATGACAAGTATGGACTCCAGCTACTACTTACTGAATAGAAAGGATCGTCATCGAGTTGTAAATGATGAACGACATCATCATGTGATATTTAGCAACATGCGAGCGGTGATGTTCAGTACTCCAGGTAAGCCGAAACCATTTTCGCGGTCCGTAACAGTTGTGGTTGTTCAACTAGCTTACAACACGAGCCAATCATGGGGTGATATCTTCATTTTCAATGATAACGGGACGCAAGTCAGATTGATCGACAATAATACTGTGATGCAGCGTGTTAGTGAGCTGAATAAGCGCGGGACCATGGGCACTCACCTTCAAGGCAGCGACGGTATTTTCATTGGATATGATGCTGATAGAATAGGCTGCGCCGCCTACTCCCAGATAACGCGATAGATTGATACCACACAGCACGAAAGCAAACTGAAGACAATTGCGAGCGCTCCCCCATTAATTTGCTCAGTAAATCAGTCGGAGAGGTTTTATGCGACTTAGAAGGTGAGATGACGACATGTGAAAACTGCTCTTAGGATGACATAGAAACAACTGCTGACAGCCTGATCAGCCTGATCAGCTGATCAGTCCTGAAAGAAGACAGAAGTAGAAATATTCGTGCAGCACTTCCAGTATCCAGCAGGATAAAGTTGTGGCCCGGACGAAATGTTCGAAGCCATCGTATATCGAAGCGATAAACCGTTAAGATTTAGACGATGTCGAGGCCAATCTTAATCCACGAACGAAAAGGATGGTTGAAGACACGACGAAGGTCCCAACAGCATCCAAGAAACTACTATGTTCAGAGGGAAAACGCACGGAGGAAGATTTCTTGCATGCAGTGTACTCAGTCATGGACCCCTTCATTCGGCAACAAGCACTCGCTTCACCGGAACGCGAACAGTAGCAAAAAACGATCAAAGCCAAGATGAACACACTGAGTGCGAACCAAACGCAGATTATGGCAAATTTCTCTCCTGACGTAATGCAGTAATGAGCAAGTACGTGTTATGTCAAGCGTGACCCCATGAGCTTAATTGATCAAATCAAGATGGTCTTGCCGCGCGTGGGTTTCACGATTTCATGAAGTGGATTATGAGAAATATGTTGCTCCGTCCTTCGGATAGGTAGTCTCTACTTTATTCTCGCACTTGCAAGTACTGGCCGTCTTCTCGTTATGATAGACGATTCTCCTAACGCCTATGTGAAGAGCACGATCAAGGAAAGAATCTGCATAAAGCCATGACCGGGACTGTAACTATTGATCTTGTTGAAGCCATTAGATGGACTTAACCAGTCCGAAGGATGGTATACCGACAGCTTCAATGTACATTGTTCGAATCGGTTTAGTTTCTCCGTTGTAGACTAGACCCGTGCATATACGTGCTCCAAGCTGTAAATGATTACCTCATACTCGGGTTCTACTTCGATGACTTTTTTGTGGTCGTATGACCGCCAGATAGCATGAAATGAGTGCCACGGCGAATTTTGGACTTCTACACAACCAAGTACGGCCCCCAGGAAACTTCTTGGGAATAAAAATTACGGACTACGATCGATTTTTCTAATTTTCTCAGACGCGTACAGTCGACTGATATACAACCGGTTCATCACTTAACATTACACGTCCGTGAAGACTACCTAACACTTTACGTGGCAAGAATACGCGTAATATCTGCCTGAATGGAGAGATCAAATGGAACCGGAAAGTTTTGCACTGTACTCATGTCCTAGGAGGTAGTCGGCGCGTCTTGTTTGGTCAACTTCAACGCCCTAAATCCGCGAACTGAATTGGAAAATACTCTCGAGGTGTTGTACTGCGTGACGGGTGATAGCGCCTAAAATTACACAGGTCACAACTTACCTGGCGACAGTATGTTTAAAGAGCACACGTAAAGGCAAGAACAGTTCATTGGGATACGAAGCTATGAGCAAGGTTTCAGCTAATGTTATCGTGCGTGAAGAACGTCAATGTTTCATATGCAACAAGACTGGCCACATCAAGAAGGGTAGTCGAAACGACGTCGCCAGCAAGACACGATGACCCCAATTTAAGAATCTCACGGAACATTTAACGCAGTCAGCATGAAGGCCTCAGCTAAGTATACTTTAATTTATGTTCCTTCATTCTTGACAGATCAAGAAACCCGTGCCAGCAAGCCAAGATGCTACGTGGTTGCTCGACTCCGGACCAAGCCACTACATCACAACGACCACACATTTCTACAAGGTGTACAGTCCTGCTTCTTTTGAATTCACTTGCAAAAAGATGATCATACGTGCTACGGAGGTTGGAAACGTGACAATAAGCTTTACTCGTGGATGGTTAAGCGCGAAATATTACGGTCAAGGACGTTCATCACATTCTCTGGGCAAGCAATACTTTTTTTCAATATTGAAGCTGAAAGAGCGTGGAGTCATGGTCAAATTCGATGAAAAGGCGCAACTGTACGTGTAACGGGGTGAATCGTTACATAACAATTTATAAGAAATTGTTAATTGAATATAACCATAATAGTTATATTCTCAGAATATTGTCATAAGGACAAATATTCTGTAGCACTTACGAGTAGTTCCTAATTGGTTGATATAGGCCATTATATCAACCAACGAAGACGCGCTACGACAGACGCACGCAATGAGTGGTGAGCAGATAATTGATTTACACATTTGTATTTAGACATAGTTAGATGAAGATAAATAGTGATTTATTAACAGACATTAACTATTATAAATACAGTTCTACTTTTTACTTTAACCAAGTACTCGCTTCTTCTTACCGTCTTCCACTGCACGTACCAGTGTACGTGAAGTTACGAGGCACCGCCTTATTCTGTCGTCATGATAAGTAGCTTGTACTGTCATCAGTACGATCTTCAAGGTGCCCCGTTACAGTACGTGACAAGCTGGATGCGAACAGAAGGCAGAGAGTGGTGGCCAAATTGTCCTGTGTTCGTGGATTCTTCTACCCCTGGAGTATCCGGTAAAGTTTGGGACACTCAGTGTGGCAAAAACTGACCGCCATTTCACGAATGGGGTGGCATAAGCTACCAAGGCATCTTTGTACGATCGGGGAGATGCGCATAACTAACCATGACGTCGTGATCGGAATACGTGTCAAAACAAGAAAGTTCTCTTTTTCGATGTATGCGTAAAGTCCAAACAATCGCGATCGATCAAGGCAAAAAATGAAGGCACAACACACGCACTATGGACGAAGTCGGTGCAGGAATTTTTATTGACCTCAAGTTTCATTTGAAACCTCACCAATGGCAAGTTAATGAACATTTGTTATGCATCGTGGGAAATCACACCAGCAGCTATTCCGACCAAAAACCAGTAAATTCAACAACTCATTGAGTTTGCTACATAATTTGAGTGAGACGCACTTAGGTCAAGGTAATTGTGGTAAAGGCGAGTTTGAATAGAAACAGATGCGTATCTGGGCTTGCAAACACGTGTAATCGGATGCAATCCACGGAAAATGATGAATTGTTGTCGAATGGAAAGGTTGAGCAACGTCATCGAATCATATTCAATGGCGTCAGAACGGTCATGCTGGGGGATCTCAACTATCGTCGTGCTAACGGGATGCAAACAAAACTTGTCTACACGGATACCGTGGATATAACTTGTCATTACACACATCAAGCGTGATACCATGTATCCATAACCCAAGGGTGAGGATGTCGTCTTTATTGCTTACGATGTTGAGCGTAAGGGTTGCATCGTGTACTACAAGACTATGCAAACGTTATCAGAACGCGACACATAAGATCCCATGATTGTTCAACGAGAACCCCACGACAAAAGCAAACAAGATTACCGATACTTAAAAGCAACAATCGATATAGATTCTAGCTTACTCACTATAGCAACTAGCGAGGCGATTGATGAGGCATAGGAAATTGCTGATGGCGAAAATTAAACTTTTAAAACGTGCAAGTGAAGCCAATACTGTGACGGGGTGCCTCCGTTGCACGATAATTTACATCAGGTAATTATCA